ATACCCCCTTGTACAACTTGCAGCAATAAAACCAGACTACAATTATTTCGCAAACCTATACGTAGCTCATCTGTAGATAATTTTACCTACTCCTGGCAGTTCGTTCAGAAAAGCAAAAATTGTAATAGACCTACGATCGATCCCTGAGGTACACCCATGTCACATTACGTCGTGAAGAGTAGCATTAATGAACATTCCCATTCTATGGTCGTCAATATTTCCAAAAAGTGTTCATCTGTGATTAGGCCCAGCTGTGCTTGTGACTCTTAATTTCAGAGTAATAAATAAAGGGAAATTAACCGTTACCGATTATATGAAACAAGACTCTCCCTACCTGCTGAATTCTCGTAATATACAGGTGGCAGTCCATAAAGCTCGACCGCAAGTTTACTTTTCGTAAATGGTGATACAAACAGATCCTAGGTTCAATTAAGTTTTAATGGTGAAACAGTAATTACCATAAGTGTATAGGAACTCAAGCAACGAGCATTATTTTAACTATGTTGCGCCATCTTCAAAGAACAAGACATACCTACTCAGTACACCAATGAGTAAGTATATATCATGGGCAGTGTTGTGAAACATAAATATCATTCAAGATCATATAAATAGAAATATTATAGTGACCGCTGTAAAATCGTCCCCTCAGTTGAAAAAATTATCTTAACCTTCTGCTCTGGAAGGATGTTTCCGATCCAAGAGAACCGCCAGGTAAGCGGGACATGCCAAAGGCACACTTTCGGGATTATTGCGGCCATTGTGGAGTTTATGATATTTTGAAATTTCATCACGAGGCAACCATTATAAACCATTGTGTTGATATTCGAACTGCAATAAAATAACGAAAACGAACGCTCTGCCTCGAGTCAGGGACTGTTCGGATTTATTGTTATTGGTGCAATTCAACTGATATTATATTTTAAATTGAGGGCGGCTCATGAATTTGTATTCAATATGTAGTGAATGCGTATTTAACTTTATCGTTTGGACGACTCATATGAAACGTGTTGTCGTAAATAATTTGGTCATATACAAGAGGATGATCGACATATAAAAACTCCAGTAGAGAACAAGAAGAAGGAAAGTGGAGATCAGCCTAAGCTAGACCATACAACAGACCTTCACCAATCTATTCGAAAATTTCCACCGATGAAAACAAAAGGATAAGTTTCAGAAGTTATATATACTAAGTGACATATAAATACGAGCACCCAGTTTAAATGGTTTTATTTTAATAAAAGTTGGTGAATGTATTTATCTTACTGTAAATAACAAGTGAAAAAATTTTCAGCCTTATCAATTGGACATTCCGGTTTTTGTACTGCTTTCTTTAATTCACTAACGCTCTAAAAATGAATATTTCAGCCGCAGTAAAGAATCAACGTTGGCGGATTTTGGTTCTTGACATCGTTTACGATCGGTTACGATGCCTAGAGTACGGAGACCTGTACGATTTCGTCAACTTAGTGAGTTTGATAGGGGCCGTATAGTGGGACTTCGGGAAGCTGCACTTTCTTTTCGAGCAATTGCAGTTAGAGTGCAAAGAAGTGTAGTCACTGTGGTTAGGTGTTGTCAGGCATGGCTTCGAGAAGGCCGTACGCAAAGAGCAAGGGGCACTGGACGCCGCCGTAGAACAACAGACCGTGAAGATTGCCGCCTAAGATTATTGGCCTTAAGAGACCGTTTCTCCACTACCAGGTCCATTGCAAATGAATGGTTTGCAAAACACGGAAGACCTATTGGCATGCGAAGCGTTTACCGACGAATGAGAAGTTTTGGCTTGTTTCCATACCGGCCACACTGGGTCCTCCCTTTAACTCGAGAACACCGACGTAATCGCCTTGAGTGGTGCAGACAACGGTCACTCTGGGATCAGGAATGGAACAGTATTGTCTTTAGTGACGAGTCTCGATTTTGTTTAGGTATGCACGATGGTCGTGCAGGGTTAGAAGGCGACGTGGTGAAAGGAGGAATCCACAGTTTTTTGTTGAAAGACATGTTCATCACACTGTTGGAGTTATGGTTTGGGGTGCTATAGCTTATGGTTCCAGGTCACCTTTAACCTTCATCAGAGGTAACATGAACGCGCAGCGTTATATCCACGAAGTTCTAGAACCCCATCTTTTACCCTATCTTGACACCCTGGCAGATCCAACTTTCCAACAAGATAATGCCCGACTACATGTTGCAAGAGTCACAATAGACTTCTTTCAACATAATGATGTCACATTGTTACCATGGCCACCAAGACTTATCCCCAATTGAGCACGTGTGGGATATGATGGGTAGGAGATTGCTCAATTTGCAACGTCCTCCTCAGACTCTAGAAGCACTTCGAGAGGAGTTGGTGGTTGCCTGGAATGAGATACCACAGGAGGACATTGACCACCTGATCAGAAGCTTTTATCATTTACTTATTATGCTTCATTAAGTACTTATACAACATTTTATTAAAATAAAACCATTTAAACTGGGTGCTCGGATTTATACGCCACTTAGTATAGTAGGTACTATAAAAATATGCTTCTTGTGGTATTCTGTATCATTTTACGAATGAAGACAATCTGGAACTGGGAAAAATAAATCCAAAATATATGAATACCATAGGTAAATTATGTTGTGCGCCGATTTTTTAAGTTAATATATTCTGACCTGATATTTTTATTCTTCAAAAATACGATTAGAGTCGATGAAACGGTTACTGAAATTACACAACGGCGAGGATCCCTTATCAGGTGTACCAAAGAAAACACATGTTATCATGGAGATTAACAGTTCAAAGCTTCCATAATATTTGGTTTTTTAAATTCGAAGATGTTCTTGACTATGGCTCCTTTAAAAATTTGAGACTCATTACAATATTAAATTCTCTAACTACCTGTCCGTGGAGATAGGATAAGGTCATCCAAATAAGAGTATAAATACACTGGCGAAAAAGAGGGACTACCCGTAACCCTACAATTAATTGATATCGTCTTCGAACCTTTCCCAATAATAACCTCAGTACCTATTCAATAGGTCGAACGTAAAACGTAAGCGTGGCCGTCGTGTGTATATTCAGGAAGGCCTTTCCCTCTGCTCCGAGCGATACCGAGGCCCTTGCCCTGCCACCCTGAGAACAAATACCTGTAAAAGTTCTCACAAACAAGCCAAGAGCGGCGGTCGTCGCTCGGGCTTTCGGAAGCACCACTATCTAGATTAAAAAGTGTTAGCCAGCATATGTGACAAAAACAACATCCGGTCTGGTGTCTACCTTCAACCACCGAGTAGTAGGAGCTTCGCATGTTTCCACCGTTTTGCTACACTGTATATTAAATATGGGTGATGTCATATAATTAGGCTTTGCAGCTCTGGTATATATACCCCCGGGGCATAAAAGTCGCTCTGTCTAATATTTGCAAAGGAATCGGTTTTTCTTATACACAAGCAGCCGCGTAAGCACCGGGGCACCGCGAGTGTTATAAGGAGCATGAATATAACCAGTTAGTCCGATTTTTGAACCGTTCAAAGTAAGTAGAACTATGGAAAGCCTTCTAAGGAACATTGTTCTACAATCTAGACACCAAAAACAGGAGCGGGCATACAGGTCAGTTTTCGATGTATGACACGATGAGGATCGGAGGCTGCAATTTGTCAGGTTTGGGGCAGGCTCAAAGCGTGGCGACGTAATGGAGGAGAACTCCGAAGAGCAAAGCCCGTTGGTATAGCGGTAGGACAGAGCCAGTTCGCCGAAAATGCCCCCAGTCTGTCCGTTAGAAAAGAGTCAGCGATCAGTCGGACAGACCTCGTCTGAGCTGCATGTATAGTTTAATCAGTGCAGCAGCTTGTGAACAGTAATCGATTCTAGATTTTATGTGGACCCTATATGGAAAAAGCCCTAAATAAACAAACTAGCTTCTTTCCAGCAGCAGTTGCGTTTAACAGCATGTGTTTCTGTGGAATCAAGTCCAAGGTGATCTAACTTTGACTAGCCAAAATTAACTTTTGACGCAACTCGGCTATTCATAGAATAAGCGGACAGGGCATATATTGTACAGTACCGTGTTTTAAGGGCATTAAACTGTACCAGATTGATGCTGCCCCAACCAGTGATAACCCCCAGATCTCTCGTCAGAGAGAAGCCGCAGGTAGTTTTCTGTCCGCCAGCTCACCGGCATCCATCACATTGGCGTCATGGATACCTGCATGTAGAGTGCTGTCATAAGAAAACTGACGATCGGATTGATTGTACATGTGAGGAGGTCGTTGATATACTGAGTGACAGAAAAAGGTAAACATCTACGTATGTTTATCCGATTTTAATAATTTTTGGCATATATGTTCAGTGTCCCTGACTACAGAAGCTGCTTCAGTAATGTGTTGAGGATTCACGATTTCTTATACACTCATTGACATGCCTGGGCATCGTGCTAATAAGGTGGTCGATATGCTGTTGGGGTATCTCATTCCAGGCTACTTCATCTTTGTGAGTAAGAGCCGCTAGAGTCTGTGGAGGGTGTTGCAAATTCCAGAGCGTATCCTGTCCCAGACATGTTCAATTGGAGATAGGCCAGGCGATCGTGGTGGCCAAGGTAGACAGTTGAAGCGTTGTTGATCCATGAAGGCTAACGATGCTCTTCTAACAACATGCAGTCCGGCATTCTCTAAGATGAGGCTCCACTACTTCCTGAATATAGCGCCGGGCTATCATATTGCCTCTGACGAAAATAAGTGGTGATCTGCTACAATAAGCAATAGCACCCCATACCATAACTCGTGCCATGACGTGACGCTCTCTGACAAACTGTGGGTCACGTCTTTCACCACGTCACTGCCTCACTCTTAACTAACACCGTAAGGGCTCTTGCACACGAACGTGCAATCCGCCGACCGGCTGTTCCACCGACCGGCAAGAAAATCGGAAGATGTTATTTTACCCACATTCGAATACAACTTAACACACTTGCCGGTACCGGCTATTCTGCCGACCGGCCGCCGTTCATATTAAAATTTGGACGGCGAACACACGGCTGCCGGTCGGTAAATTAACCGGCGCGTTCATTTCAATGCATGCAAGTCTATGCCTGTTGACACACGAACGGGGATTCTACTGTCGCCGTGGTACAGAGTCGTAGTTTCATTTCCGTTTAGACAGTGTAGTCATGAGGTGCGAAATGGAAAATTTAGATATTGAGGCATTTATTTCTATGGTGGAAGAAAGGCCGGTGATATGGGACAAGACAAGAGAGGATTTTAAGGATAGGAATAAAACTAAAGCCGCCTGGCAAGAAATCATCGATACATTTATTTATGAAAACCTGAACGAAGCAGAAAAAGCCGAAATAGGTATGTAACTATGTAAGATAAGAAACAATATTAACTATATTTTACTTAATTGCCACGGTACAGATCCTTCATTACTATTGAAATATTTTGTGAAATGGTCCCGTATATCTTTCCCGCTTCTTGATCCTCGCAAATTTCGCTCTCTTGGTATGTCTTCGAGGTTTATAATTTCTAAGACATCGCCGATATTAAAACCATCTCTCATTCGTACTAAATTATGCAAGATACAACATGCTTTAATCATGTCAATGGCGAATTCGGGATGTACGTTTATAGGTCGATGAAAGATTCTCCATTTGTTGCTAAAAATACCGAATCCACATTCAACATAACGCCTGGCACGTGATAAACGGTAATTAAATACACGTTGTTGCTGTGTTAAGTTGTTTCCACCAAATGGACGTAGCAATTTATCACTTAATCCAAAAGCCTCATCGCCAACTAAAATATATGGTACAGCCGGATTTTCTATTCCTGGTAAGCATTTTGGGCAAGGTGTATACAAAGAATCTGAATTCAATGCATGAAAAAATGTTGACTCTTTAAATACGGAGGAATCACATTCTTTACCGTATGCTCCAATGTCAACATATCGAAAACAGTATGATGTGTCCACAACAGCCAATAACACGATTGAAAAAAAATTTTTGTAGTTGTAAAATAATGAGCCACTTCGTTGTGGCTTCACAATTCGAATGTGTTTCCCATCTATCGCTCCGAAACAATTTGGAAAATTGGCATTATTAGCAAATCCTGCTTCACATTCATTCCACATCTTTTCTGATGGCGGTGGGATGCATTCATCAAGTAGGATTTCCCAAATTTCCCTGCATACATCCCTAACAATTTTACGTATTGTTGATGTTCCCAATCTGTATGCGTAGTGAAGGTCTGTGAAAGTCATACCGCTTGCCAAATACCTGCAACAAAATTAATTATTTCTTTTTTTTTTCAGCTAAAACACTATTGCAGAAATGGAACAACATTCGTGACAGTTTTGTGAAGAGTTATAAAAAAAATAAAAGCCTTAAGTCAGGTTCTGGTTTTAGGAGAATAAGAAAGTACATCTTTCACGATCAGTTGCAATTCCTTGCAAAAACAATCGAACACAATACTACAACATCCAGTATTTCACAAGAAAAAAATACAGAAACGATGGCGCAACAGAATGTAGATGATAGTAGCAATGAAGGCGATTCTCAAATTGATCAGGATATGATCAATTCCAATATATCCAATCCAAATGCATCAACCGCTAAACAAACGCCACCGCAAGCTTTACTTACAAAAAAGCGTGCCTCAGCACCAAAGAAACGTCAAGACGAGTTTGAAACCAAAGTGCTAAAGATCCTGGAAAAGCCGGACAGCATACCCACAATCAGTGAAGATAAATCTTTTTTAATTCCATTTTGCCGATTGTAGAAAACTTTGATGAAGATGACAAACTTCAATTTCGCATAGAAGTTTTGCAGCTTGTGCAACGTTTTAAACGAAAGCAAAAATGTGATGCTTTCAACATGACTTCTGATACCAATAGATCGCTACCTTCGTTTGTACCACCAGCAACTCAGTCATGCAGCCAGCAGTGGACACCGACATACCATACATTGCAGTGTCCACAGACTTCAATACCACAATCTAGTACGTCATTTGATCCAACTACATCTCGCTATGACAATAATCTTGAATATCCACAATCTTCGATACCACAATAGTTTATCCAATCTGACTTAACTACAACCAGAATTTGATTTGTTTAATTTGTTCGTTATGTTCCTTATTTAAATATATCTAGTTCTAAAATCACATTTTAATTCTATTACTTACCTTATTGTAACTGCAAGCATCTCTGTGGGTGGTATCGCTTGTCTCATGTTTGTTTCTTGACGGGCTATATGTTTGTCCAAACGCTGTAGTAAATAATCAAATGTTGCAACAGACATCCTAAAGTAATTGAAAAATTTTGCTTCATGTTCTCGTAGTCTTGTAAACAAGGTATAAAATGCTCCTACTGCACTTCTTTCAGCTACCAGTGGATGAATCCATAATCTTCTTGCTAAAGCTTTCTTGTATTTTCTTCGTCTATACAATAAACACACAAGCGCGATCTTCTTTTCACGTTTCATTTTTGACAATGCACGAAACGAAAATAGCCAAGCTCTTTCTACGTCGGATGACAGTACAGCACTGGCCTTCATGCAGAAGGCAAAGTAAACGGCACGTAACCGGCCGATCGCTTATCGTGTGTAAGATAATCCCGATTTCTTTGCCGGGCGGAGAAAACAACCGGTCGGCGGAATGATCGGTCGTGTGCAAGAGGCCTTAGTGTATGAAAACTGAATGCTTCTTTAGCACCTAACAATACACACAGCGACCATAAAAACTCAGCAAAAAAAACCTGACCATTTTATCACTTGTGGTTCATGGCAAGATGAATCGATAAGTAAAAAAATTCTTGAATTCTAATAAACATACGTAGCTGTTTACCCTTTTTTTGTCACTCAGTATATCTAATAGAGTAAATAGTGGGTTTGAAACAATAGTAAAAAAAGTTCGACGTAAGCCCTTGTTTAGCACTCAAATTCAAATGTATGATAATTATGCTATGGATCAACCAAGTTCTGGGTGTGGACGACCGTTTTGAGTCTCACCAAGGGTCCTTAAAATGATTTCTCTGGTTAATTCTAAGAGGCTCGGTATTCCTCTAGCTCGGAAATTACTGCCTCACTATTATTTTTAAAATATCTCCACCAGTGATAGAAATAAGTAAAAAGCTAAAATATAGTAATAAGTGAGCTCCTATGTTCTCCGAGTTGCTTACCATTTTCGAGCGCCGTGAAGAAGGTTTCTGGTCACATGCATAATAAGAATATAGGTTGCTCGAAAATTTTGAAATCAGGCACGATTTTCATAGTTGCATATATCGTTAATAACGCTTATAATTTCGGTTCCTGTACCAAGCCGTATTCAGACAAGTTCAGAATAAAATTCATCTTAACGCAAAGAGTGCCAACGTATACGTAGATAGTAATGGTTGGGAAGTACCGAACCAAATTACTTAGCACCATTGTCCTTTTTTTATTAGTGTTTTTATACAGAGAGAATATATAAATCTTTGGTCAACAAATTTGTCACTAATCATTGTATGGATACGGAGCAGTAGCGACCTACCAGTCGATAACAAATCATAACGAACGTGTTTGTTCATTTAAGCATTAGTGCTGATATTATGTATTTCTTATGCATAGCACATACAAGTTTTTGACCTCTTTCTGACCACGCATCCTGCCCCTTACAGCACTGCTGTCCTGTCCCCCCTGGGTAACTCAGATCACGGTCTTGTGGAGGTTAGGTTTCGGTCAGAAGCCGCTGTGGCAGCAGAAACTCGCACAGGCCGCAAAACTTGGCATTACGGACATGCCGACTGGGAGGGGCTCAGAGACTTCTTCTCTAGCTTTCCTTGGAGAGATGTCTGTTTCACTGACGCGGATGCGTCGACTGTCTGTTCTTCAATAACCGAAATTATCCACGTCGGAATGGAGGAATACATCCCCCACACAGTGAAAGTTCCTAAACCAGGGTCCAACGGCTGGTTCAACAAATCGTGTGACACTGCTCGCCAGCAGAAGATCATGGCCCACAGAACCTACTTACAAAACCCCACTGTAGAGAACAGACAAGCCGACGTCGAGTCCAGAAACAAATATAACGAAGCGGTTCGCAATGCCAAAAACCAGCATGATATAAAAGTTAGGCACAGGGTAATGTCGTAGCGCAATGGCAGTCGGTCTTTCTGGACGCTGGCCAAGCAGATTGAAAAGAACTTCTCACACAGTAGCCTTCCACCACTTACGTGTCAGGATGGAACTATTGTATTCGACTCAAAGGCCAAGGCGGAAGTGCTAGCCAAGATCTTTGCTGCCAACTCCACCATGGACGTCCCCACCAACGCCCAAGTGCCATCAATTCAAAGGGTTCCCCACACTATGCGGGAGGTAACATTCAGGCATAAGACCGTAAGACGAGTGCTCTTGTCGCTCGACATCAACAAAGCTTCTGGTCCGGACTTGATTCCTGCCATTGTACCGAAGAGATGTGCAGCGGAGCTTGCTCCAGTTCTTTCGCGTCTCTTCCAGATATCTTATGAATCCGGCACCTTCCCAGAAAACTGGAAATTTGCTGATGTACAGCCCATCCCAAAAAAAGGATCTAAAACCGACCCTTACAACTACAGGCCTATAGCTCTGCTTTCTGTTATAAGTAAAGTGATGGAGAGGTGCATAAATCGCGAGCTTCTGGACTACCTCGAACGTCACAGCTTGACTAGCGACAGGCAGTACGGTTTCCGGCACCAACGATCCACAGGGGAGCTCCTAGCTTCCGTCACGCAACTGTGGAGTAAACTCATCCAGTCTCATGGTGAGGCTCATGTCGTTGCTCTTGACATCACGAGAGCGTTCGATCAGCTGTGGCACGCTGCCCTCTTAAGCAAACTTCCATCCTACGGCCTCCCAGAAAAGCTTTGCAGATGGGTGGCTGACTTTATCTCTGGCCGCAAGATATCTATATTCTCCTCTTCATCCCACAACGTCAACGCGGGTGTTCCCCAGGGATCGGTCTTGGCTCCAACACAGTTTCTCTTACATATCAACGACCTCCTTTCCTGCACGATCAACCCAATCCACAGCTTCGCTGATGACAGCACTCTACATGCAGGAATTCAGAGTGACAAGCCGATCTCTGCCGCTGAGCTGGAAAAAAGAAGACTAGCGACGACTTCTTCTCTGACAAGAGACCTGGAGGCTATCACTGCTTGGGGACGCAACAATCTTGTACAGTTCAATGCTTCCAAAACACAGTACTGTACTTTGACGAACAAAAAGCGTCCTAGCGCTCATACAGTTTCGATGGACGGTCGAGTTCTACCAAAGAGCCATTCATTTCGGCTGGTCGGAGTCCAGATCACCGAGGACCTGATCTGGCACGAACACATCTCTTCAATAGCTGCAGCTGCTGGGAAAAAGCTAGGCTATTTGTTTAGGGCTAAGAAGTACTTTTCTCCGCATGACCTTCTCACTCTATACAAGGCCCAGATAAGGCCTAGCCTCGAGTATTGCTCACACATTTGGGGTGCTGCCGCCCCGACTACATTGTCCATGCTCGATGCTGTCCAGAGGAGGGCGGTCCGACTGATCGATGACTCTTCTCTAACAGACAGTCTCGGGACTCTTTCGCACAGGCGGGCCGTCGGCGATCTAGCTCTTTTCTATCGCTACACCAACGGGCTTTGCTCCTCAGAGCTCTCTTCCATGATGCCGCCGCGCGATGTGCCTGCCAGACAGACCCGCCTGACTTCGGCGTCCCATCCTAACCGTGTCAAACTTCGTACATCCAGAACTGGCCGATACGACCGCTCCTTTGTCCCGAGGGTGTCTAGATTGTGGAACAATCTACGGGAGGAAGCTTTTCCCAGTTCTACTAACCTTAGGCAGTTCAAAAATCGTATTAACAAAATTTCTTTGGGATCATCATAGCAGCCGCGGTGTTCCGGCATTTAGGCTTCTGCCTGCGCGGCTGTTTCGATATAAAAAAAAAAAAACCTTTGTATGGTTTTTTGTTATGCTTGCTTTTGCTGTATATTTCAATGGTTTTTGATTTGTGGTTTCGCGAATCACAAGGCATAATGATGGTTCAAAGGAAGGGCAGTCCGCAAAACGAAAATTATTATTATTGTTAGACAGTAACCGTTAATGGTGGTTGCATCCAAAAGCTCTCTTTTGAAAGAAAAGCTATCATTAATAATCACAAAATTAGCCACATACTCTCTACTAAAGCATTTTCATTCGTGAAAACGGTAACGTTTGGAACTATACGTGATCAAATAATCAGATTAGGAAAGTGTAAATATTATATGCATTTTGGTGAAATGGCAATACTTAGTATTGGCGCAGTCCAAGTTGACCAGCTGATTACGTAGTGAGCACGTCTTCTACATTACGTTATATATTCTTTTTGATATACTAAATCACCTACTGTAATGCCTGTAATGCCGCCCACTACAGATGAGCCGGCGCGAGATGTGATATGCGAAAGTCGATCTTATGTCAGTCGGATCAAATGAGTCACAATAATGGAAAAAGATTCAAATTTAGTTTCAATAAGCAAGAAATGATATGTCAAAAATGAAATTTCGTTCTATGCTTGTCCTTTGATATGAAGAATTTACATGAAAGATTAATGTTAGTTTGCTTTATAAACTATGGTCCAAAAATGATTCCTTACAAAAACTCGGGGTGTTGAAGTTTTAGGAAAAAATGGAAATTATTTAATATTTCCAGAACCGCTTCAGATATTCCACTGATATTTAGTACGTAGTGAAAGTTAATAAGTTGCATATTTTTTAATTCAAAAATAATTTTTAGCTTTAACAGTGGCGTGCGTATTGACTTCGCTATTCTTTAAGAAAAAAATGGTACGCCAATGGGTTTTTGCCAAAAAAATTATTTTGAATTCCCCGTTCAATTTAAAACAAACGATCTTTTTTGAATTGTTTTCGTTCGATGTGCCATTTTTGAGTAAAAAAATAAAAACCGTTCTATTGTCTAACTTGCAAAATTATTATTAATTTAATTGGAAAAATTAAACACATTAGGGGTAATGAACAACAACAACTGACAACATAAACATTGAAATCAACGAAATGATTACAAAAATTGTTGAAAATGGCCCCCTTCACTTAGTATGCATGCTTCCGCCTTCCTTCTCATGGAATTGCGCACTCGTTGAAATATCCCTGGAGTGTTTTTTATTCTATCACAAGTTGCACCTATTCTTTCTCTCAATTTCTCTACAGCGTTAATGGGACTTGTGTACACTAGTGTCTTAAGATAGCTCCTCAAAAAGGAATCTAAACTGTTGAGGTCTGGGGACCTTGGTGGCCATTCTTGGGGCCCACCGCGGCCAATCCTATGATTTGGATAAACAGTTTGTAAATAATTACGAACCGCTACACTTAAATGCGCTGGTGCACCATCATGCATGTACCACGTATTGTTTCTTATTACTAACGGAACATCGTCAAGCAGCAAATGCAACTGTTCATGAAGAGAATTGAGGTAAGTCTGTCCGTCAAGTCGTCCCGGCAAGAAGAATGGACCAATAAAGTGGTTGCCAATAATTCCTGACCACACGTTGATCTAAAATTGGTGTTGAAAATAGGTTTCGGTTACCTCATAGGTATTTTCTTCTGCCCACAAATGATTATTGTGGAAATTCTGAAATTTCGAGAAAAATTAGCTTCCTCCGTGAACAGAAATCATTGATTCAAATTGCTGATTTTGTGTAATTTTTTGAAGATACCACTGACAAAGAGCCACACGCCTTGGAAAATTAATGGGAAGTAATGCCTGTGCTCTTAAAATATGGTAAGGATATAACAAAAAAATCCACTAAAATTCTCCAAACAATTTGATGGCAAATATTTAATTGTCTAGCGATCTTCCTCGTACTCGTTCCAGGATGTTCTTCGACTTCGTGCAGCACTGCTTCCTCAATTTAAGGTGTTCTCCTGATAGTCCGCCAATTCTTGGCCCACATATAACTTGAATGAAATTTTGACACACGGTTAGTACTATGCCTAGCCGAAAAAGGTTTATACATTTTGTAAATCGCTCCAGGGGCGGCGGAGCGAAAACACAAAAAAATTAACAATCGCTCAACAACAAACATTTTGTAGGGGTTAAAAATCGGGGGTTTGGGGACGGTATATCTCATTTTTTGGTAGCATTATATTTTCACGCTCTCAACCGCAGTAATTCTACGCATCTATTAGAATTAGATCATATTTCACAGAACATTGTACATTACAGTATCGCGGCTGACGCTGATGCCATGGTTGTCTAGTGCGGTTCAGGTTGTCGTTACTTGGAAATAGGGAAAAAATGGCGTTAGCGTTTTTGTTATACTCGTACATGTTTGTAGCTAGCCCAGAGGGACTGACTTGTACCGAACTTTTTTTTTGTTGAAACAGAAAATAGTGCCTTTGGAAACTCGACAGCAGATTAACGGCATTTAACTCAAAGTGCAGTTTTAAATATTCTATTAAATAGATACAGATATTTCCATGAATGCATTATGTGTTTAAGGTATTATATTTTGTTGTAAATAACCAGCAAAAAATAAAAAAGTCGTGCATATTCCATATTGTGACTATACCATTCAAATTCGTTATGCATTCGACCATACTTTTATGCACGGGGTAGTGTTTCAGTATACAACGTCAAAGTCGCACAATGGTTTACCCATAGAACTATTTCATCATGGACAAACAGGAACTGTCTGCACATTATTATAGGCTACATAGCTCCAAGGCCATATTTAGACCTCTCTTGCCTGAAGCATCCCACTCGCCAAATTATTAGACAGAAAGGACCGTAGGAAAAAATACCTCCACCACCACCGGGGCGTAAAATCATCGGTAGATATATATCAGCGGTATCTTTTGATTTTTTATAGTTTTTTAAGCACTCCTCTCTGGGTTCTCATGAAAAATAATACTGCGTGGGGGTTAAGGGGTGTAAGGTTTCATTTGTGGACTCAGCAGTAAAACAAACATTTATAGGGTAGAGATTAAATTTACGACGTCGTTATGAATAGTTGCAGAGATGCTTCTTCTCAGTAAAATTGGAAATTAAGGTGCACAGTAGGAATAAGTGGCAGAGATGAGGACATGATTGTTAACTGCCTGTCGTGATGTTTGCTGTCTTCAGCTGCTTTTATTCTTATTCTGTACCCAAAGACGATGACAGGTATTTCAATCTGATTATTTGTTATCACATTTCCAAAGTATTTAAAATACTTAATCGAAGTACCTAAAGTACTGATTCAAAAGCAAATATAGTAAAGTGTAATTTTAGGAAGCTGCTTGATTTTGTGAGGTAATACTAAACAGATCGTATCAGGAGCTATTATAATTTAGTTATCAAACATTGTTGACAAACAGCTTTTGACGTGCTCATTGCTGTAGTCTGAGGATTTTTTTTCATAAAGGTCGATATGTTGCACTAATGGCTCTCACAAAACATACTCCTTTTTGATGCCATTGCACTACATGGAAAATAGTAGTAGAAGTTGTTTAGAAAGCACGGTTTTAAGTGTAAGAGCAACCTGTTTATTTTACCCTGAAGCAGGCAGAGGGCTAAGCATCTGGGCCTTGTATAGAGTGAGGGGTCATACGAGAAAATTACTTCTTAGCCCTAAACGAATAGCCAAGCTGTTTTTCAGCAAGCTCCCTGTTCGTCAAGGTACAGTGCCGTGTTTTGGAAGCATAAAGCAGTAAACTGTTCAATATTGTTGCATTCCCCAGCATTGATAACCTCCAGATCTTTGGTCAGAGTGTCGCTAGCCTTCTTTTTTCCATCTCACCGGCAGATGTGGATTGGGTTGATCGTACAGGAAAGGAGGTCGTTGATGTGTAAGAGGAACAGAGTCGGAGCCAAGAATGATCTCTGGGTGACACCCTCGTTGACGTTGTGGGATGAAGAGGAGAACCCGTCAATTACGACGGACACCTTGCGGCCAGAGTGAAGGTCAGCCATCCATCTGCAAAGCTTCTCTGGGAGGCCATAGGATGGAAATTTGCGTAAGAGGGTAGCGTGGCACAGCTGATCGAATGCTTTCATGATATCAAGACCAGCGACATGAGCCTCACCGTAAGACTGGATGAACTTATGAGTCTATGAGAGAACTGGAGCAAGCTCCGCTGCATACCTCTCGCATATAGTGACAGGAATCAAGTCCGGACCAGAAGCAAGGCAGCAAATAAATTTGAGAGATGTCAGGACTTGAGGCGAAGCCAGACAATGTCCTTCCGGGCTGACTACCAAGAAGCATATCTGAAGTAGGAAAGACTACTGCGGACAAAAGTTACAACTCCCCCGTTCTTCCTCACATTGGAGTGCATTTCATAATTGTGCATCTCATAATTTGGAAAGCTTACATGATTAATTGGTGCAGACGCAGACGCAGACGCTGAGATTTTTATCTCCGCCAAGAAAAGCATGGCGGGACGATTAGATTGAAGGTATTGATGAGAAGCATGTTGCTGTTAATCCAGCAGATGTTCGTGAAACAAATTCTATCATCGACGTTGTTCCCCGAGTCCACCCTCTACCCTGACATTCCGATAGTGCAGAGAGTTTACGTCCAGAATCCTCAGTACTTTGTTAGGGAAGATAACCGACTGCGTAGCTTAGGTGTGGAAACATGCGGACATTCTCAAGACACCCTGAAAAAAGCAGGCGGCTGCGCCTCGTTCGACTGATCTTCGCCTACCACCTTCTTTTTGCATGTTAATGATGTTAAATACACCTATAGTGACCTGTTGGCAAACGTGCACCGCCACCCAGCAATCGGTACTGAGGTATACCTTAACGCATACAATTACTTGAACTGAATACAACAAAACACAAAACAGTGAAATGCCTGTGGGAACCCATCCCAGTTCAAATTGTCAGCCGGGTCTCCACTGTGACCTGTAGACGCCGGCGGTTATGGTGCTATAGTAGATATGGCCTATTCGCCTTTGATCAATCTAGTAATATAGTTTTCGTCCTTCCGACCACAGACGGCCAACCATGGTTCGTGGTATTTGGCAACTCCTTGTGACGTGTTTGTCATTTTAACGTTAATGTTAAACAGACCGTCTATACCATGATCCACACAGAGAAGCGACAAATACGAATATCTCGATTTCGAAATTTCTCGTAATTATATTACTTCCTCACCAGTTTTAGAAGTCCAAATTTTTGCGATTGTAAAGCACTATGTTTCAATTTTTAGCAAAAAATAATTCACGCATGCTTGGGATAGTAAAACTAGGTTTCAATTCTCAAATGGAAAAATCTTGACGCCTCTATGCGAAAGATTTAGTGGCAATTTTTAACTCGTAGAGGTGCAACATTTTGCAGGTCAACAAGTGGAATGTGATTCCCCGATAATGAAGCGAAAATACAATCCCGATTCGGTACATGTACGAGGGATGTCTTTTAGGTTTTGCATATAGAAACATAGTAGGCCGCGCGGATCGAACGTCAGTACAGAATCTTAACCTCACTCTTTAGTGAACTTAAATTCAAAGTTTCACAACAATACGTGCAGTGTTCTTACTACAGTGAATTTTTAAGTGTCACCAAGTCATTAGATAAATGGAACTCAACCGAGAACATTTTCGCGCCATAATTTATTACAACTTTCAGAGACAATTATCGCAACAAGAATGCCTTGCTGAGTTACGCCACATCAGTCGACAATTTCCCGTTGGTATGGAGAATTCAAACGTGGGCGGGTGAGACTTAGCGACGATCCCAGGGTAGCTGCAAACTCATCATTGAAGATAGACATGTGACATATCGCGAGATTGAGGCGTCCTTGAAGATCTCAAAGACCTCAATTCAAAAAATTTTACATGAAGAATTAGGAGTAAGAAAATTAGTTTCTCGTTGGATACCCCACCTATTGACTGAAGAGGAGAAAGCAGCCAGGGTTAAACGCTTGACCGTTTCAATTCCGGAAACTCAAAAAATGTGTACAGCATTGTTAGTGTTGATGAATCGTGGATTTACTGTTATGAACCAGAAAATAAACGACAGTCGGCCGGTTGGGTGTTCCAAGGTGAAGAAAGGCCAACAAAGTCATCCGTTCTCGAAGTGTTTCGAAAAAGATGATCGCGACATTTGTGTCAAAAGCGGGTCATATTGCAACAATTCCTCTTAATGAGCAAAGAAAAGTTACTGCGGATTGGTATACCACCATTTGTTTCAAAAAGGTCATCACCGAGCTTCGAAAAATCAACCCCGAAAGAAGAATCATCCTCCACCAAGACAATGCAAGCTCGCACACGGCCCAAAGAACAAGGCAGTATTTAACGGAAGAAAACGTGGAATTATTGGACCATCCTCCATATAGTCCCGATCTAAGTCCTAACGATATCTTTATTTTCCCGAAAATTAAAAACAGACTGCGTGGTCAAAGGTTGCATTCATCAGAAGAAGCAGTTGATGCATTCAAAAAAGCCGTTTTGAATCTGCCAGCAAACGAGTGGAATAAGTGCTTCAAGAACTGGTTCGAGCGCATGCAGATGTGTATTAATCTTCGTGGAGAATACTTCGAAAAACAATAAAGTCATATAAAACTACCTACCGTGTTGTTTTATTTACATATGCAAAAATTACAAGATATCCCTCGTATTCAAATAAAAGCGGTCCCAACAAAGTGATGGCAACTCGACCAGTTATCGGAGCAGCTATGGCGAGTCATTTTGTAACGTTCGGGCGGTGTCTTTTTGTGGACTCAAAAAATCGTTGATAAGGAAACCTTCCAGAACAGCTACAGTCGATGTTAGAAGTATGACAAGCAAGTTAATAGTGTAAAAGGGGCCAAGAAGGTGTTAGTAGCAGATTGTTCATTTCACTTATGTTTCTTGTATATTGAGAATTTACTTGGTAAATAATAAGATACTACATAATGTTGATTGTTTGATCTGAATAGATTTTGTTTTTGAAACACGTTATTTATAAAAATTTTCTTTAATTGAAGGTTTAAACTAGCAAAATAGTATATTTTTACTGCGCGTTCTTATTAGCATTAATATATGTAGCTCCCACTACCTCAAAAGAAGCCTGAAATTTGCTTGACAGTGGCTGTTTTAATGGAAACGCAAAAATAACGCAATCGAAGTCGGAATCTGGTTGTTGATTTTGGTGAGAACTGTGCCTTATAGATTACATTTCCTTTTTCTGAATTAAAATTATGCCAAAAGTCGTTTCGACTGTTTCTGTGGTAAAATAGCTATATCACAAAGCACAACTTTAGTCGCTCCAGGTTGCCAAAACCAGGCTTGTAATAGATACTGACCAGTCACTATCCTTAGAATAAGCGAAATGACCCTCTATACAAATGATAATTGGTCTTCCGCGTATCAGCCCATACGTTTCCGTCATGACTATTTTTGTGAGAACCCCTGAAGGTATTTGTTCTCATGGTAGATGCACCCCTTCGCTAACTAAATGCCGATGCATACACACGAGACGCCCTACGACTGCCACGCTTACGATTTAAATTTTGCATTGTACATTCAGGTTGCCGAAAAGGGTCTCTTTTACAATAGCGCCAGTCAGTGCAGTTCAAAAAGTCCCACAAATGGACAGGTCACGATATACCAAATACTTTACTTCGTTCAATAAGCTGTGGCCTCGGATACTTCTTTGTCTGTAGAATGTGACTGATGTATTTAATAGTGCTTAGAGTAATGAGATGATAATAGCAGGTCAATCATTCTAGAAACTCAACTTCCTAGATTGGAATATATCCCAGTAATAACTGGAGTCAAGAGCGGACACATGAAAGCTAAGGGCGGATTCAAAAAATCTAAAATGTGTTGCGAAGCATATTTAATAGTTTAAAATAATCAGTGTCAACATTTTACAGAAAATATTATAACCTTTTTTTTGGGGAATTTCAAGTCCTCTGTTCATCTCTAACGTATTCCGAGGCTTCTTGTTTATACAGGGTGCGGCAGAGAGGATGGACGGTTTTAAAAAATCATAAAATAGTTAATTTCTACTCGAAAACAAATTTATTGATGGAATCAGGTTCACAAGGAAATAGCATTTGAGACAGTCAAGTGTGGAGAATTACATCAGGCATGTGGTGGCCTAAATCGTTGATGCTTTGCTGGAGGCGTTCTTGGAATTTCGCGTAGACTCTCTACAACATCGCTCTCTCAACTTGGGCGACTTCCACAAGAATTTCTCCCTTCAATTCGTCCAGAGTTCGGAGCTTGTTCGCGTATACTCTAGCCTTGAGGTGTCCCCATAAGAAAAAATCGCATATGGATAAATCTGGGGACCGAGGAGGCCAATGAACATCGCCAAACCCGGAAATAAGGCGACCAGGGAAGAGAGGGCGAATAACGTCCATGGATGCTCGGGCTGTGTGGTCGGTCGCCACATTCTGCTGGAACCACACACGTCGGATTGGAACACGTCGCCGTCGTAATTCAGGGAGAAAGAAGTAGGTGATCATGTCGACGTAGCGCTCTGAGTTCACGGTAACATCACGACCATTACCGTCTTCGAAGAAGTAAGGGCCAATAATGCAAGTTTGCGATACAGCGCACCAAACCATTACTTTTGGGCTGTGCAGCGGTCTTTCGTGTAACTGTTGCGGATTTTCATTAGCCCGGTAACAACAATTCTGCTGGTTAACCATGCTGTTTAGGTGAATGTGGGCTTCGTCACTCATAGGCGAAAACCCGGTGCTCCACCGTCCTAGGCTCCATAACGACAACCAGTGTTGTATCTACTCGATGGATTTTGAATTGTGCAAAGATGTTAATAGAAATTGCGGATATTTCTTTAACAATGTGCATATATGTATACTGATTTTCTGGCGCAACCGCCAATATAAAAAAAACTTAAATTTCATGGAACCTTTTTATTGTTTAATGCGAATTTAAGAAAGTAATACAATAAAAAAAATATTTATTTATTAAATTTAATCAAGGCCATCAATTATGAACAATCATCGGGACTCGGATGCGTAACAAATAATTACTGGATTAGTATTTTGTATGTGTCTAACAGTACATTTCACTCGTTCATGCAGCTGCTAAGAAAATTCATTGCCAGTTTTCTATAAAAAAATGCACTTTATTTATTGGCGACTGTGCATAGTTTGTGTGGGGGGTGCATATTGTGCATATGTTCGTAAAATTATGCATGATATGCACAATTGTGCATGTCGGAACATCCCTGACGACAACTGGTAAAATAATGCTAGGATCTCACGAGTCAAACGGCACCCTCCCCACCTCTCTCGTAGACGGAGGCGGAGAGTACTACCCATCCCAAAAACGTCCGTCCTCTCTGCTGCACCCTGTATTATATTGAGCGACACTTCGTCTTTTTATACTTTGTATAAATAAAGCCGGATTATTATTATTAATTATTATTATTATATATCTAACGAAAAGGTATCAGGCGAGAAAAGAATTGGATACATGTTTACAAAATAATATATGAGTTCTAATTATTAATTCCAAATGCAGGTTTAGGGATAGATAGAGAATCTGAATCTGAGGCAATAGAACTCTACGGTCAAATATCTAAAATTTTTGTTCACCTATAGCTAACTATTGAGCCTGAACACATTTTTGGTTATTTACTGATAAAACATTTGGAATTCATCATCAAAATGGAGAGGCGTCAATCTCTCGACATCATACTGGTATAAAAATGTGTGCCTCAGAAAACGGTTCTGAATGTCTCTAATGTGATTCGGAATAATTCCACGAGAAGTATTCAAAAGGACGTGCCCTCAAATAGCTTGAGCCAAGATGAAAATCCATAATCCAATCAACTTGATTCCAAGTAACTTCCTCACGTCTCACTCTCTGAATACACTTTTCTGTGGACAGTGGCATCATCGACCTTTTCTTGAAGAAAATTAAGCAGGACAGGCTGCATTCTCATTTATACCTAGTCAATACGTATTTTTCAACCGTGAAAGGATAAAATGATTGATGGGTTGACCATCAATTTCTGACACTATTCACTAGAAGCTGGATTGTTTAGTTTATAGATGATGTCACTGTGTTACTCATTATATAGAGGTCCTATTTTTAGAGATAAGTATCAAAAAATTGTAAGAAATAGAATCTTAATTGGCAGGGTATCAAATTCCCAGTAACAGGGGTATATATTTGAATACAAAAGTGTCGGGATTTCATCGTTATTGTCAATAGTAAAGGCTTCTCACAAATCCAGGGTCCACTTAACTAGGTTTCACTGACCAAGCCTATATCATGCTGAGGAGTGGCCAACTAGTACGAAACAGCTGTTAGTGCTTGGTAGTCTGTGGTCAGACGAGTGAAACCTCTAGGACTAGTAATCTATTACTAATTTGAATTTTAGTTTCGCTTGGCATTTTGATCACTTTTGTACCAGAATAAAGTATATCGTATTCTTGCGTGACAATTGATACTACAGACCATCTATGTGAAATAACTGACACCACTCCTAAAAGGAAGGCTAATGAAGGGAATCTCTCTTTGAATGCAGAGGATCAATAACCTCCTTTCGCAGGCCACTACATGGTATTTCAGCATCCCTTTAGCGCTGATTTTGTAAGCTGCCGCTAGGTGGGACTTCAGTCGACCGAGGATTTCCAAAGGCGTACTTTAGGGGTGATAGTACCCGTACAAAGGACATATGGGGAAATCGTATGAGGTCCATGTTCAATGACTCCTTCCTGTTCACTGGGGCTCGTAGTCGTATGTTACATAAAATACAGGATGATTAGGAAAACAGTTATAGTATTTCTAGAGGATAAAATAGTTATACCGGGTGCTTCTCCAAGGCAGCTCGCGCCCTTATAACTTTTTTTTATGATTGAGATAGACAAACAAAATTTGGGGGCTGCATATTATAGATGAATTTACAATTTTTGACATATTCACTTGTATTGACGTACTTCGGGTTTGACCGGAAACGACTAAACTCTGGATTTTTAAATGGGACACCCTATATACCTTTACTTATTTCGATCGAAAATGATATTGTGAACTCAACAACACCTGTTTTGTCAATATTTGACAGATAAACTCATTTTTATTTCAAATTTTTTTTTTCGATCTAGAATGTAAATTTCTTTCTTTTTTGATCAACTAACAGGAAAAATAGGTACTTGATTTTTTCAAATAGAAATAGAGTGGCTCGTCGGCTTTTTCTAAGAGACCAGTTTCTTACGAATAATTTGACACTACACACTCTTATTTTAATTTCACTATTTACCTAACAACAAATAGTACCTACGTATCTGCATTTGTATACCTATTATTCTAGTTATTTGTGACAAACAGTTGAAGGTGCTGCTAGGGTTACTTCAACACGTAGCTAATCTAGGTTATTAAATATACTGTTATAAAGTAAGGGAGGCATTCTGGTACATCACTGTGGAACAGTTAATGACTGTGATGCAAGCAACAAAATTGAAAAAGTTGAACTTTGCTGTGACCAAGAAGGAGGCAATTTTGAACTCTTGGAACCTTAATGGCACATTTTTAAATTTCATTTTTTGTCATAACAATACTAGGATATGTATTTAATTCATTTGAATAGA